GAAAGATTTTGGAAGATTTATATTCTATTTAGAATTTTTATTATAAAATATGTTTTGAAATAAGTTATCATCTAAAATATTATATTTGATATTAAAAATATGTTTATATTATAAATAAATTAAACTTGATTTTTATACAATTTAACATATTTATTTTTATATTTTTATTAGTATTAAATTATTATAAAGTATATTTTTAGGATTGTAATTCTAATCAAACATTTTAAAAATATTTATAATAAATAAATAAACTATATTTAAAACATATATTTTAAAAAAAAGTTAAATTCAAACGTAGTAAATTGTAATATAATCTAACTTAAACTTATTTTTATCTTTAATCATAATTATATATATATATAAATTTATAAAAGATAATTATGATATATATTTATAATTTTAAAAATTATATATAAAATTTTTAATATTATAAATATATAAATAATTATTGTCTTCCCTATCTAAAATTTTTCACGTCCACGATTTCGCACGAAGTAACCCAATGTAATGCAGCAATACTGTCTACTATGGGTTGATCTCCTAACTTCTTTTTTCTCTTAATTTAAATTAAATCTCAATCATCGATTTTTCTTCCTCATATCTTAATTAATAATTATTTATCTTAATTTTATTATTTTCAATAAATTTAAAATATGTGTTAAAAGAAGCATGTCAAAGAGTATATTAAAATAAACAAAATTATATACAGTGGTATATAGTTGAGTAATATAAGCATATTGACAACGGATGATACATACATACGAAGGAAAAGACTTAATTAAAAGACGTAAAATTCACTTCACAACAATGAAATAATTTATAATTATTCTATTATTTTTGTGTTGTACTTTAAAATGTTGATAATAAATTAGTATAACAATATTAACAAGCAATGAAATTTGATGGTATGTAATGATATTACCATATTAATCAATACTGCGAAAAAGAAAATTTATATAAAAATAGAGTGGGTCCACAACACGAGTCTCCCGGTTAGATTTTGTGTATTTACTACAGAACCGTAAAGAATGGTGATTGATTGTAATAAGATATTAGAGAGCAGCGCAGGAGAAAAATATTTACTTTGGTTGGTTGGTTCTTTGTTTGACCATTGATTTGTACATGGCTTGGATTCTCATAATTTCTTCAATCCCTCTTGTATGGATCATTTTCCTTTGCATACATCTCCTTCTACCTCGCGTCTTCTTCACCAAACGTTTCGCGCAAAACGGTATGCTTCGTTTTTCATTTCGCCTCAATTTCTCTCTCTCTCTCTTTCTGCCTCAATTCGCTTCCTTTTCAGGCAGAGTATTCCGGAAGAGAAATGTCTTGTTGGTTATTGCTCATCCCGATGACGAATCCATGTAAGTTCCTAACCGTAAACGCTGCGTTTCGTCGTTTTCAACATTACGCGTGTCAATTGTCAACCATACATCATCGCGGGTCAGCGAGTAGCGGTTATTTTTTGTCTAAATGTTATTTCGAAAGTTGTAGATATTATAGAAAACGGTTGAAACATGTTGTATTGTCAAGTTTAATTCGATTCACAACGGTGTCACTGACCAGAGACAAAATTGGCTAATAACTTGTGCATACATCGAGAGGATATTTGTAATCTGTTGTTAGAGAATTTCCTATCATTCTGTAATGTTAGCTAATTTCTTTACCCATTTTATTGGAATCGTGAATTAAACGAACTGTAACCCTCTCTCTGATATTTGATTCATCCCATCCTATTGTTCTCTTGATTGGGCCTTGGGCTGGACCCATCATTCTGGAATTCAATTTATTTAGTGCGTGCGTATCTTCATTTTCCATAGTTCTTGATGCATGAGGCTTGTCCACTGCCAATTTTACATCTTCATTGCTGCCATAAGGCTAAATTGCTTCTCTGATACAACAACAAAACCCTATAGTTGTAGAATAGTAGCTAGAAATTGGAAATTTGGAATACCTGGAACATCTTCAGGATTTTATACGTCATTCTACTGAGTCTGAGGTTAATCCTGAAGACTCGGTGATGAAAGATCTTGAAGGCTAAGTTACTATCCTAAATTGTACAAAAGTGCATCTTTGTTAACTTCAGAAATTGTGTGGTGTCAATGTGACTTTGTTAAATTTATGCATCGTTGTACTTTTCTTTTTTGCGTGTGTGTGTGTTATAGCTGTGCTATAATGATTGCTTTTGAAGTTTGAAGTATATGTTTTCAAATTTCTGCAATAAGATTTCACACCATCTTGAAGTTTTGTTCAATTTCTGCAGGTTCTTTACTCCAACTATTAATTTTCTGACTTCAAAGGGGCATAACGTTCACATACTTTGCTTATCTATTGGTGATTAGCTCTGGACATTCTGTTTTTGTCTTGTAAATTATAGCAGTTATGGTACATGTGTGTTTATGTTGATGTTTTGTGCCTTTTGTATATGCCAATTTAGACTCTTCTTTTCTTGTCCATCTCTCTATTTCCTGTTTCTTGTAAATTTAGAGGATTACCTTTGAGTTCCCTACAATCAAGTGTCCATTATCCATTATTATTATTATTATTATTATTATTATTATTATTATTATTATATAATAATAATACATATCTCAGTCCTTAACAGTCTTTAATTAATGGAATTCTTTTTTGGGTTAAAGTTTTTGATCCCTTTGAAATTTCAGATTCCTGATTTAGTTTATGCAAAAAAAAAAAAAAAAAACTGTTCATTTTTAGCCCCTCATTTATTTTTATTCATCAATATAAGTCCTTGGGAGGGACTATAGGCAAGAAAAGGACAATATTTAAACCAACAGGAACCAACTTTGATGAATAAAAATAAATGAGGGACTAAAAATGGGAAAAAATATTTTGTAGGGATTTAAACCAGAAATCTAAAATTCTAGAGGGACCAAAAACTTAATTAGCCCTTTATTTTTACATATAAAGATTTTGGGCAAGTAGTCCATCTAGAATGTCGGCTATGAGATTTTCTATGCCACAAAATCAAAGCTTCAAGTTTAGGCTCTAAGAAGGATTCTAAGTTTACATTTCAGTCCATTAGATAGTTTTAAATTTGTATTATTTGTCTGTAGGTGATGCAGATGGAAAAGGAAATATCAGAAAAAAAGAGCTTTTTCAGGCTTGTGTAGCCCTCAAGGTGATTTACAAGATGGCATAAAATAGTTGTGATTTCATACATAATATCAGAACGCCTCTTTACATATTAAACATTGACCCTGTCTGGTAACTGTTTAACTTTTTTCCTTAAATCACTTAGCAGTCGTAGCTTTCCAATCTTAGAACATAAATTTCTAGGGAAACCTGGGGAGACTTTCCTTGATTATGTTCTATATATAAGTTAAAGATGATAGCCTCTGTCTAAAAATTTAACTAGCGTGTTGTTTATATCACATGTTAGAAATAATAATAGAAAATAAAGAGTTGTTTTTGTGGGAGTTGGTATGAATTGTGGGACAGTTCACCAAAAAAATAAATGCATTGTGTGAGATTATTATTGTGTAACAGCCTAGTATTTAAAGGGTTATTGTTATTTTGTCAATTTAGTATGTTAATAAAAGTTATGTAATGGTTAAGGATTACTCTATTATAATTAGAGTACCAATTCATTCATGTAACTGAGTGAGAAGAACTATACAATCTCCTGAGATTTTTCAGTCTCCTCTCTAATTTTTCTAAACATGACATTGGAAATTGTGTACCCCAGGTTCCAATGCAACAAGTGAAGATTTTCAACCATCCAGATCTTCAGGTGTTGATCCAATAGGTCTCTGGAAGTCATAACATTTACTATTACTTCCAAATCTTACTGTTTGTTCCTTATATTGCCCATGTTTAACTTGTTGTGATACCTAGGATGGTTTTGGTAAAGTTTGGAACCATAGCTTAATGGCGAAGATTATTGAGGAAGAAACAACCAGTCGCTGCATTGATATGGTAAGATTGTGCTGCCCTATGCATCCTTTGGCAGACTAGTACACCCTATGCAATTTATATCTCGTGAAGCCCCCTTCTCACTTATCACTTTTCCCCAGATTATTACCTTTGACAACTATGGTGTCTCGGGTCATTGTAATCATCGTGATGTGCATTATGGAGTATGGTAAGTTGAACTATTAGTAGTGATCAATATCAAAGAACTAGAATTGGAAACATCTGAACATATAATAGCATGTATCGATAAGCTTATTTCAAGGGAAATAATGGTTTGTTTTTTTACATGCTCTCTCAAAAATCTGACAAAAACAAGCGGTTACTTATTCAAAACAAGCTGAACCAAAAATGCATTTACAATTGTACAGTTTGAGTTAATGAGTTGTAATGGAAGACACTGTATACTATAAGCTCATTGCCCCACCGTTTACAATGCTAAGAAACCCATTTCAGCTATGTGGTGTTATTTTGTGCTTGTTACTGTTAGGAGCAAGCAGCTTAGTTTGTTTACTTAAAACACTTCAATAATCAAATAACCTTGAACAACTTTTCTAATAACTGTCAATAACTTTTTAAATACTGAAATTTTGTTTTAAAAGCTCGTTCAAGCTGCTGTGTAGTGGTGTTCAAATTATTAAACTTATTAAAATATGATTGATATTTGATCATGCATGATTCTTATAGAAAGTGTTTAACTATTTGTTTCAAAGGAAAGGCAGGGAAGGGAGGGGAGGGGTTAGAAAATTTGTTTGATTGAGAGGAGGGGAGGAGAGGGATTTTAATGAAGGAAAGATAATTCTTTTCTTGTTTGGTTTACAAGGGGAGAAGTTAAAAACCAATTTACCTTTTTACCCTTATAAATATGAATTTAAGAATACAAGGACATTACTGAAAATATTTTAAAACTCATCCCCTCCCCTCTAAATCTGCCAATATTAGAAGCGAGCTAAAACTAAATGATGAGAGACTTTGCTCTCCTCTCTTCCTAAAAATTGAACCAAACAAAAAAAGTTTATAAAAAACTCTCCCCTCTCCTCTATTTCCCTCCAACCAATCACTATGTAAATGTTTTATTTTTTTTTGTTTATTGGGCCTATGGTCTCACAACTGGTCCCAAGCCTGGGAAAAGGAGTTGTGCTAGGCCCTTGGCTGCTCACGTAAAATTAGTGGATATCACAAACATGGATCACTCAACAGATTATTTATCCTTGAGAAATTGGTTTTTAACCGAGTCCAATGACATGATGTAATTCATGTAACTAACCTCACCTAGTGGGATAAATCTTTTGCTGTCGTAGCACGCCTTCTGATTGATAGAATTGTGGGTTCTTCAACTCTCTAGCACAGTAAGAAAATGAAAGATTATCAGTTAAGTGCATGAGGACATCATCCATGATATATCTAAGTAGACTAATCACATTATTTTCTCTCATTCTTATGCTGCTGTCTCTTACTGAATTTTTTCCCCTGTCGTAAATAGCATGCTACTACATGATCCTCAAAGGGATATTGAAGTTTGGGAACTTGTATGTATTTGCTATCTTAGGTTCTATTTTCTTAATTTGACCGATTATTTATTAGAACTCTTTCAAATTGTCTTATTCTCATGGGATGTCTTCATTACTTTTAGGTTAGCACCAATATATTGCGCAAATATAGTGGTCCTGTTGATATCTGGTTGTCCGTGTTTATGGCCATGCTGCATTCAAATGGAACAGTGCAGTGCCTGGTAAATGAACATTCTCGTAGGAGCTTTATTGCAATGGCCCAACACTCAAGCCAATGGGTGTGGTATGCATGCTTTATCTTACTATTATTATAAAACTGTAGACTAAATATCTTTTCTTGAAATGTGCAAATATTGTTCAATGTGGATTTTCTTCCTTAAATCTTTGTCCTTGTGCCAATATTGGAATTCACCACACATGACATCTATGTGATAGATATTTAGAGACTTCAACTGAAATTATCTCAAAAAGGCATTGCACTACAGCACATCTATCTTTTTTCTCCATCTAAATTCATTTCCGCAGGTTCCGCAAGCTTTTTGTTGCCTTGTCCAGTTATACCTATGTAAACACTCTAAGAAAGGTCTAATGATGTTGCAATGATGAAGTAGTTGTGTTGCTTGCGAGATCAGCTTTCATTTGTCGCAATCCTGCTCTGTATCTATCAACTTCCTTCCGGGTTCAAGCTATATACATTATGTGGACTGTACCCTTGGGCTAAAGCAACCTTTCACTTTCTCATGACATGATTGAACGGAATCAGAACTATTTTTCTTCCAATTATCCTGTGTGCATATGTTCATTAACAGTGATCTAAGTTTGTCAGATTTTGTTTACTTAGTTTTCAATTCTTTGTTTCGGTAAAGTAGCACTATAAATATTCTTTACCACCGATTTGTTGGCAAATTTAATAAAATTATTCCTTTAGTATTACAGTTCCGTGTAGTTGGTTGTTTTTCAAGACTCAAATTAATTGGAACATGTATTTTGAAATCGAATCAAACTGGACAACCAGTGAACCGGTTACTAGATCGGTTCAAATAAACCACAAAACCAGTCTATAAAAAAAATTGGTCAAAGAATCGTTAAAATCGATAAAAAAAACCGATCATGAACTAGTTAAAAATGGGTTCACAATAAGTCAATGGTTTTTTTAATACAATATTTTTTTGGAATTTGTGTCTACAAAACATAAAATCAATATAAAGTATTTGTCATTGTCTTTACCATTCTTAATATAAATATAAATAAATTTTGATATGTATCGTTAAAATTCAAACTTAATTATTACAATATATTTGATTTGAACTTTTATATATATTTTAAATGTTTTATGGATCAATTTGATATAATACAAAGAGTGACTGAGAAACATTTGAAGTGACAATTAGTCTCAAGATTTTTTTTTTTTTTTTTTTCCCGTAGAAGGAATCTATTACAAAAGGAAATGGATTCTATAATGAGGAATAAAACATGGAAATTGGTAGACCTCTCATCAGTTCTAAATCAATAGGTTTAAATGGATTTTCAAAGGGAAAATAAACGTAGATGGAACCATTTATAAGTTTTGGCAAGATTAGTTGAAAGGTTCACAAAAATGAAGGAATTGACTAGTTTGATACATATATGCACTGTTAGCAAGGACCACATCCACTAAACTGCTTTCAAACTTTCATTTACTATGACTTAACATTTTTTACTAATTTAACCTAGTCCACATGAACTTTTGATGAGTTTGAGTTTAACAAAGTACCTAAATGTATTTTAGAGATGAGTTTGAATTATCCTTTAGGTTATTGTAATTCGGTCCATCATCATATTTTTAATAATTTTAAATAATTATGTATTAATAATATGACGTATTAGATTAATAAATCATGTTTTGCGCGACATAATATTATATTTAAATTGATATTAATTATCTTCAAATATATTGTAAAAATATATCTTAATTTTTTAATTTCATAGTTTAACTAAATATAATACTAAAATTAATATATTATACTAACAAGTTAAGTTGCCTAGTCTTGTCTTTATATTTGTCAAGTTTTGATTGGGTTGAGTTCGAGTTTGTAAAATTTGGCCTAAAATCCTTTTAGTTGAATAGGGACACAAATAAACTCATTTCATAAATACTAATACTTCTATTTATAAGCTTGTCAATTCATTAAATGAATGTCAAAACTGTATTTTTAAATGAAGAATAAGATGAAGAAGTATATATGACACTAATAGAAGGATTTGTGGTAAAATGTCAAAAGGATAAAGTATAAAGTGTGTAAATTGAAAAGATCATTATATAACTTCAAGCGAGCTCAATGATATCAAAAGTTTTAAAGTCATGCTATCTAATGGATTTAAATTAATTGAACCTAACTTGCATGTATTTGTCAATGAATTACTATGTTATTATATATATTTATTATGTTTGTAGCTATTCAACCTTATTTCACATTGGAAACATAAATAAAATGTATCACACTCCCTTTTACATTTTTTCCTTGTTTGCGCAAGTGAAGTTCAGTTAAAGGTTTGTAATGGTCATGAGACCTATATCTGTTAAACTACAGTTGGATACCATGTTCTTATGACATCGAAACTTTGGATATCTTTTTTTATATGTCTAAGTTGATTTATGATTTATTTATAAATTTAAATTGTTTAATATATAGACTTTTGTATGCCCTTTGAAGTGCAAGTGAATAATGAACTTTGGTTTTAGTATTTTTATTATTATTGACATTTAATTTTATTAAATTATTCTACTTGAGTTTGAATATTGATATGTAAATGTTTTGACTTTTGCATTAAAAAATGAAAAAAAAAAAAGGGATTAAAACTTTCAGCAATCAGGAAACCTATGACCTATTTTTGACAGAGAAGTGATTGAGTAGCAGCAACGTGCTTACCGAAAACATAATTTAATAATAGTAAAATAATAAAAATAGAAAACTACGTCCACATGTTGTGTGGAAAGTTGCTCATTTAACCAAGTTTTATGTTTTCCATTAGATTTGTAGGGTTGGATCTTGATTTTCTGCAATTCAAAATTGAACAATCATTGAAAAATAAATTAAAAAAATGTACGATGGAAGATTGAACAGCACGTCTGCAAGGTTACTATATAAGGAGCAGGTACGTGATCCATCACAAGACCATTTTTAATCACGTTCATTTATGTTAGTAATTATACTTGCACTTTTTTTTTTAAATTACACTCAATATTCTCTAATTTTTTATTTTTTATTTTAATGAGATCTCTTAAAAACTAAAAATAATATTATATTATTTTTTACTCACAAATAACGTTGTGATCTTTACTATATTGTAACATTTTTTCAACTTAAAATTTTTTCGATATAAATAACTAAACAACCAAGGGTATTGAGTGCACTCGAAAAAACAATGGACGAGTATAATTTACTCATATTTTAAACAAAACAAATTGACGAATGACGAGAGATTTAGCTGCAGAGAGGAGATTCCTTTTTCTTCTTTTGGTAGGACCCTTCGTCTCATCAGTTATTAGTTTTGCATTTGCTGCCATTTATTTGAAGACAGAACTTGCGTGGCCTTATTATTCAATTAGAATTAAAATTTATTTTGATAATATGTATAAATATATATTAATAACATATAAGTGTATATTATTAAAGAAAATTTCAATAATACAAAGTGTATATTACTAAAATAAATCTCAATTCAAATTTCAAAATAGCACGCGCCTAATAAATTATTACTTTTTCGTATATTTTATGTAAGGACGGTAAAATGGGCTGATCCATGAGCTGGCTCGTTGGCCGCCAAAAATTGGCAAGTCGGGCAACATTTCAACCCGCCAACCTGTCTTGCCAAACCTGTCAATTCATCGGGTCAAATAATGGACTGGTCCGTCACAACCCACTAATCCGCATAAGTAATTGGATTTCAGTTACTTGTATAATAATGAACTTGTTTTGTGGACTATCAAAAAAATTTAGATTATTAGTAATTTGTAAGTTTATAATTTGAATTTGATTTTGGTGTAAGTAAACTAATTTTTATTTGATTTTATTCTAAATTTATAATTTGTTTTTGTTGAACATATATTACGTATAATATGTATGCATTTTTAATTTCATATGATTATATTTATTTATTTATAACAATTATTTTTTATTTAAATGTAAAATATATATTTTTTATTTTTTATAATTTTTTTTTATGATATGCGGGCTACTATCCCGGCCTATCTTTAAGCTGGGCAGGGAAGTATTTTCAACCTGTTTTTATCGGCAGGCCGGGCCGGCCTGTCCAAACGGCTGACTCGTTTTGCCACTACTAATTTTACGGGTGTGAGATACATCACGTGCAGACGGTGCAGTGCAGCTTCTTTCAACTTTTTCACCCATTTTTGGAGCTTTGCATTTAATAAATGTACGGTCTAAACTTGTGGGCTTAAATGATACATCAAAGACTTGTATTTTCCCAAATTGCATCTTTCAGATGCACATCACACCCATCAACAAAATGATGCCTCTAAGCTCATATTTTATCATAGCACTTTTGTTTTCATTTACATCTTCAGCAGATATTCAGGAAAACTTTGTTCAGTGTCTATACAATTATCCTCAAAACGCTACCTCAATCTCCAAGGTTGTTAACACCCAAGCCAACTCCTCATACTCCTCTATACTACAATTTTCCATTCAAAATCCTAGGTTCTCCAACGCAAGCTCCAAACCCCTTGTCATAGTCACACCACTGGCTGTTTCCCACATTCAAGCCACCATAATATGTTCCCAACGCCATGGCCTCCAGATCCGAACTCGAAGTGGGGGCCATGATTACGAGGGTCTCTCCTACGTTGCCAAGGTTCCTTTTGTCCTCATTGACCTCATCAACCTTCGAGAAATCAATGTGGACGTAGAAAACAGCACTGCATGGGTTCAAGCTGGGGCAACTGTTGGTGAACTTTACTACAGTATTAGCCAAAAAAGCACAACACTAGGCTTCCCAGGAGGTGTGTGGCCCTCTATGGGCACTGGTGGCCACTTCAGTGGTGGCGGCTATGGATTCTTGATGCGTAGGTACGGTCTCGCTGCTGATAATATAATTGATGCACACATAATTGATGTCAAAGGCAATGTTCTTGATAGAGAAGGCATGGGTGAGGATCTGTTTTGGGCCATTCGAGGAGGTGGAGGAGCAAGCTTTGGAGTCATCGTGGCTTGGAAGCTGAAACTAGTTCCAGTTCCATCAACTGTGACGGTGTTCAAAGTTCCAAGGACATTGGAACAGAACGCAACCGAGATTATCCATAAGTGGCAGCTTGTGGTGAATAAACTTGACGATGGCTTAATGATTAGGATCAACATAGAAAGAGTAAACTCAAGTCAAAGTGGGAAGCCAACAGTACAAGCTATATTTGAGTCCATGTATCTTGGAGGTGTGGATGAACTCATTCCCTTGATGCAAAAGAGCTTTCCAGAGTTGGGTTTGGTCAGACAAGACTGTACTGAGATGAGTTGGATAGATTCCGTTCTCTATATAGCTCGATCTACAAGTGGTCAACCCCGTGAAGCTTTGCTGAATAGAACTGGTATTGGTTTGCCATTCTTCAAAGCAAAATCTGATTATGTGAGAGATCCTATTCCTGTTGTTGGTTTACAGGGGTTATGGTCCTTGTTTTATGAAGATGAAGCTCTAGCTGCTTTTATTCAATTCACTCCTTATGGAGGTAAGATGGATGAGATTTCGGAATCTGAAATTCCATTCCCACACAGATCTGGAAATATATTCCATATTCATCACTTGGTGCGTTGGCAAGAGGAAGGGGATGAGGCAGCACAGAGGCACGTGGAGTGGATTAGAAGAGTGTACACTTATATGGAAGCTTATGTTTCAAAGTCTCCTAGAGCTGCATATGTGAATTATAGAGACCTTGACATTGGTGTAAATAACGATGGGTACACAAGCTATAGCCAAGCCAGCATTTGGGGTCTTAAGTATTTCAAGAACAACTTCAACAGATTGGCAAGAGTGAAGGCCAAGGTTGATCCTCTAAACTTCTTCAGAAATGAACAAAGCATACCTCCTCTTAAGTCCAAGGGACGCAAAACGCAAATAGAAATCCTTGGAGCTGCAAATGCGATTATAAAATAAGCTGCTTATTTTGTTATTGTTGGTTATTTGAAAATATAGAATGCTGGAATGAGTGGAACTCTAAGATATTGACCGTTTATTGAGCAACATTGCAAGTTTTTATTCAGCAAATAACTGAAAGAAAGATGCTAGAATAACAACTAACAAACTAGTGCCTAAAAAATAGTAGATAAAACAACTTTATCCTATCAGTCAACATGACTTATTTTCCTAAAGAATAGCATAAAAATCTGATCTGCAGTTTGTTAATTTCCAATCTGATCTGTAGTTTGTTAATTTCCAACAGTCATTCAATCAACAGTTATTTTACATCAATTTCTGTTTAACATCTAGATATGGAAAGAGAGATAAGTGATATAATATCATCGGGAGAGATGAAAAGAAATAATAGATGTGGATGAAGTATATAATATATATGGATAGATATCCACGTATATTACTAGAATATCTAATGCAGCATACAGAAGTAATTATATTTGGACATCCACCTACGAGGTAAATACTCTATGGAAGCTCATCATTTTTCTCTAATTTTCTCCTTGTTACATCATAACACCAGTCATTCAACAAAACCAATAAGGGTAATACTGCATAGCAAGTAGCATTACTTTTGGTCACATGTGGATACACAAACAGGTTGGAATTGGGAAGCAAAATATTTGTCTTGGAATATCTAAATTAGTGGTAACTATGTGAGATACGTGGCCTCAAACAGGAAGATACGCTCATTGGTTTTATGGCACTGTCGGCAAATTAAAAAATTCACTTCTTTCAACACTAGTAAGTTCACATCATGGTGCACAGATATTGACCTTTCTCCCCATTTCTAGAATAACATATATCCGGTTGTTTTACAAAAGTTTTGGTGGGCCATGTTTCCGTCTCATGGTTTTCATGATCGGTGTTGTTTAGGTTTCTATTGATGCAGAGTATTGGTTTACTGCTATGTACCATTAGGTGTTCGGACTACGTATTAAAAGTTTGTAATAACTTATGCATCTTATTCATTAATTTACTTTTTATTCTTTTAAATAAAGGCAAATGGCTATCTATGAAATTCATTCTTGGTGTTAAACCTTGTACCGGAATCTTATGGTGTAGTGTAGATACTCTAAAGTAAAATGGTGAAGTATTTGGTAATCCGGAACGTGAAGAACAAAAAAGGGTGTAAATAGCAATACCCGGATAAAACTAAAACATTAATCTTATACAAAGGCCCAACTTAAGTGGCAGTCCTATACATACAACACAGATGATATATTGACCAGGTCTTCACAAACTATAATTATCTAAATCTAGAGCATTCTTTTTATGTCAAGTAGGATTTTCTTAGCAATTCAGAAACTATATTATTTTTTTAACAGGGTTGATCATTAATTTATTTGATGTCTGCACAAACTTAGATCGTATTTGCTTGTGTTGGCCTGTACTTTTCCGGAAACATGACTTTGATTTTGCTTAACGATGCAGCAACATCAGTCATATTCATTCGATCTTCAGGCAAATCTGCACAGCAATTCAGGGCTATTCTATAAATAGATGAAATAGATGATATTATGTCATCAGCACGATGTTCTTCATCCTGTAACAAATTGGAATCCACAGTTCGAGTAATGGCATGGGGTAATGATTCACTAATCCAACTTTTCAAGCTCAATCCTGCAACAAACAACTCATCTGTTGGCTTCTTTCTTGAGAATGTTTCCATCAACATAATCCCAAAACTGTATACATCTCCTTTTGGAGAAATAGTCCCCTTGGATCCAAACTCTGCATGCCAATCCAACGTTGATTAATTTTTCTTATAACATGTATAGAAGCTCAAACATAACATAAATTGAAGTTCAAAGTTCAAACATAAACTCTTATTGAAATAACTGAAAGCTCATATCCATTCCATTTGTTTTAGAGAAATTGAATTGAGTACCAATGTAGAATAATTATGTACCAATGCAGGATAATTACCTGGTGCAATGTAGCCAAATGTTGCCATGGTCTTAGTATATTCTTGGGATTGTCCTTCATCAAGAAGTTTGGCAATGCCAAAGTCACTGAGATGAGCAACCATGTTTTCATCCAATAAGACATTACTAGGTTTTACATCGCAATGAACCACAGTTGGCGAAGCACCATGATGCATGTAATCCAATGCAGAAGCCATATCTATCATTATATTTAGCCTTTGCAAGAAGTCTAAACAATAGTTATGAGAATACAACCATTTTTCAAGGTTCCCATTGGACATGAAGTCCATTACTAAAAGCTTGTAATCAGCATTTGAACAACTACCAATGATCTTAGTAAGATTTCGGTGACGCAGATTGCGCATTACTTCACATTCTACACTAAAGCTCCTTGATCCTAATTCAAGGTCCAAATTAAATAATTTGACTGCAACAACCATCCCATTTGGAAGTATACCTTTGAAGACAGAGCCAAAACTTCCCTTACCAAGCAAATTACTCTCATCAAATCCATTGGTTGCCAGTGAAAGTTCATTGTAGGAAATAATTCTTGTTGCTAGTAAGTTCTATGAACTTATTTCAGCAGGATCATCAACTTGATTCTTTCTTTGACGCCTTTTCAGAAGAAATACACATAAAGCAACCAAAATGGTCGCCAACATCACAGGCAATAGGAATTTCAGGAAAAACATATGCGCATTTGACTTTTTTCTCTTCATTTCACTGCATGGAGGGACTTGTAATCTTGCATTTCCACAAAGTGCTTTATTGTATTTGAAAGACTGAGCTGTGAAATTTTCAAAAGGTCCAGAGTTTGGAATCTCACCTTCTAACCTGTTATATGAAACATTGATAAAATTGAGATCACGAAGTGACTCCAGGGATTTTGGAATCATGCCAACCAAATAGTTTTTTGATAAGTCCAAGGATGTCAAACTTATCAAACTACCAACTGAATCAGGAATATTCCCCTCCAATTTATTATGTGCTAAGTTGAGAGTTTGCAAATTTTGCAACCCTATGATGGCCCTTGGAATGCTTCCTGAAATCTGATTCCTAGACAGATCTAACAGTATAACAGCCTTTAAATTCCCAACATCAAGTGGAAGAAATCCAGTTAAAGCATTGTCAGATAAGTTGAGTTCCAAAATGTCTCTGAGACTCCAAAAAGAAGAGGGCACTTTGTTCAGTTTGTTTGAGTTCAAGTAGAGCTTTCTTAGAGAAGTAAGGTTACCAAAGCATGTTGGGATCACTCCAGAAATTTGCTTATTTTCAGTTATATACAACTCACTCAGCCGCTGGATTGCACAAAGTTCATCAATGATGCTTCCTTGTAGTTGGTTGTTTCCAAGACTCAAATATTGAAGAGACTGCAAACCACTAATTGTTGTTGGAATTGTTCCACTCAAGTCATTGTGGTACAAACTTACTATAAACAAATTGCTTAAATTTCCAATTTCCGATGGAATTTGGCCATCAATTTGGCAAACATCAGCCATGAACTGCTCCAAATTGGACATGTTTCCAATTGATTTGGGAAGGTTTCCATGCATTGGATTCCCTGATATTTGAAGAACATTCAAAGAACTAAGGAAGCTTAATTCTATAGTGGAAGCATCGGTGGTTAAATTATTGTACGACACATCCAACTCCTGAAGGTATCTCAAATTCCCAAAAGAACTGGGTATGACTCCATTGAACTTATTCAGCTTCAAATCCACGTAGTTAAGCTTAGAAGCATTGGATAAGCTTCTTGGAATATTTCCACCAAGTTGGTTTTCGTACAAATACAGTTCTTCCAAGTTTTCTAGGCCAATGTGTGCTGGAAGAGATCCTGAGAGGGAATTACTTCCCAAATGCAAGTAAGTTAATGATGACATGTTAAGGATATTTGAGGGAATAGATCCATTTAAATGGTTGCTTCCCAAAGTTAAATTCGCAAGCATAGGAAGATCACCAACCTCCTCGGGTATAGAGCCTGAAAGAACGTAATTAAATTTATACCAATAATACAAATAAACACATCTTTAATCTTAAATCATGATGAAATTGAAGGGACAAAATTATTTAAGAATTAAGATATGCTATTGAAAGAGTGGTATACCTGTGAAGGAGTTGTCAACCAAGTATAACTCTTGAAGCATGGTACAATTGCTAATAGATCTTGGAATGCTTCCCACAAATTGATTATTTGACAATGCCAACATTTGTAGGAATGGAAGTTGATGAAACATCTCTTCTGTTAGGCTACCCTTCAACTTGTTATTTTCCAGGCTGAGTACTCTCATGGAAGATATGTTAAAGATAGATAATGGGATTTCTCCTATAAAACACACCAGCTTTATAATATTAATATATGCTTTGAGCCTCTAAAAAATCCCACTACAAAAATTATGTGGGTCAAATTAGAATCCTTCCTAGGAATAGTATTCTGTTAAATAACTCCACATCTGGTTGGATAAATTCATTGGAAATTCTTACTTTTCATTTCGAAACTTAAATTATAATATAAAACTAAAAATAAGGAAATTTGGAAAATAAAAGAAATTATATATATGGAATTTGTTAACATACTTAGAAAGGTTATGTTATTGAGTAAAGTTTACTTAAAATAAACCTAAAGGTATAACTTATTAATACACTCTTTTTAAATAAGTGTACATTAGCACCAATTGTTTCTCAATAAATTTTTTTTAAGTAGAATTTATAACTTTTATTTTCTTAAAATACATTTAAAGAGTAATTTATTAAAATATTTTCTTAAAAAACAACTGAGCATGTATTATAGGCTAATATATATATATATATATGAGGAAGGTTCAAACGACACCAGTGTAACTTTTACTAAGTGTTACACCACTCAATAACTTTATATTAATTTTGAATTTTGAAAATCTAACTATTAGATTGAAAGTTCATATCTCTTAGATCATATATATCAAATTTTGTTAAATTTGAACAACAACTTGAAGGTAATCAAAGTGTTCATATTTTAGTGTATTTTGAAATGAATATATTACGTCAATTTTGTTTTATGAGAATGAAGTATCAAATCATTTTGGATTAATATAAAATTTTGTATATATGATCTAAGAGATATGAACTTTCAATCTAACGGTTGGATTT